AAGATGTACAATTGTACTACGTCTAATACTTCCTCTTTGGATAGGCCAAACTCATTTTTGTCCATAATTTTTATGCAATCTGTAATTTCTTTTTCCTTAAGAGACGACAAATATGACTGAACTCCTCCGCCACCGTTACCTTTTTTTTATGGAATATTGTAAAATAATAATGCACTCCGTGTCGTCTTGATGCCATTTCTAATCTCTTCAATTGTCCTATCAAGGTCTTCCGTGCTATATGAGGAACCAACACCTTTCTGAGTTTTTCTTATGTACGTTCGTACCATTTTCTAAAACAAAAACAATCTGATATAACCTAAGCTTTGAAAAAGTAAAGGATGGAAAAAATTTTAGGTCCTGGGGTCCTGAGGGGTAACTGAACCAGGACTTGGCCCAGTTAATCCCGATATGGATCCCAGTTATCCCGAAAGAGCAAAATCTCTTGGGGTAACTTTATAACCCATTCTAACCTCAAAACTAATAAAAAAAGCATGCAAGATTAATTTAAACATTGTTAATAGAATATTAATCAAAACTTTTACACTAAAATACATGATAAAAACACTTACCTTGATAATCAAAACAATAATATAAATCACAAGCACGCCACGTTGATTTGATAAAAAAAACTACGAATTTAAATTGGACTTCTCACAGGAACCAAAACTACTACGCAGGTTATAATTAATGTTTTGGAAGAAAGGCACATTCTTGCAGGACAGCCAACAGTAAAAAACTTAAATTCATTTACAGTTTAAAACACGTTCACGGCGACGGTATTAAATTTGTCAGTAACATTTATTGACGTTACCAGATCCCTGTATCTGGTAACACTGTCTACTGTTCGGACGATACCAGACCTATGGGTCTGGTAAACATATCTATAAATAAATGGTTTCTGTGACTTTGTATTTGAAATTACCTTGAATCTAACACTGCCATCTCATAGTAAACACTCTAATCCATTTCTGGCGGACATAGCACCAGATTCCGATGTCCGGTAAAGTATTTACGGTATATAAAAAATATACTGATTCTTATGTGGCAATTTGAAATATTTTACTTTTAAAAAATAAATAAAATGATCAATTTTTATTTGAAGTAATATTAAAGTGTACAAAAATATATAATAATTAAAATAGTAATTAATAATTAGATATGTCTATCATTAAAACAAGTTAAGCACAAAGCCGGTTTCTTTTCGCAATTTTCACAAAAAGTGTTTACTTTGGTCACCTTCTTGTCAGCTTCCTTACTTTTCATAGTCTATCTCAACTTTTTGTAACAATTAACGCAATTTCGTCTACGTTTTCTACCAGGACCTTCTTCTCGTTGCAGACAATGTTTTCGTTTTGATAAGTTGGTTTCAGAAATACACTCATTTTGATTTGAAAGTTGTAATGCTAACTATTCACGAAATGTTAGCATTAGTATCTTTTTTTCGATGTTTGTTTTATTATAGATAATCCAGCTGTTGATTATTGTAGCACCAAAGATTAGTTCGAAGACTACCTTACGAAACCACTTAAGACCTTTTAGTAAGGGAGAATAATAAGCTGTCATTTGGTCACTGTAATCTACACTTTTTTTAGCTTTGTTGTAGTCTTGGATAACTTGCGGTTTAAAAATATATTCCACTAGTTCCTCCCTTGGTTTTGATCTCTTTTTCTTGCCCGTAGTGCAGAAGTTTAGGGTATGTTTAGGTTTACTGGATAACATTAATACCGATCTCTTGTCTTGCCAAAGGATTACCTTTATAGTGTCCTTATTTTTGATGCCAATTATTTCATTTTTCTTTCGTTTCTTTTGAACTATTCCCTTTGGAATACCTTTCCTATTGCTTTTAAGAGTCCCACAATAAAAAGTTTGGCGATCTAATAGATCTTTTGCAAGAGGAATGCCCGAATAAAAGTTATCAGCATATAAAGTTCGTCGGGCATCTAACAAGCTATACATTAAGGTCAGCACAACTTTCTGAGAATGGCTTTTGTTTATCATATTGTTTTCTTTTCCACAGTAAACCATCACTTTATATGTATATCCACTGACGGTACATAGTTTATATAATTTAACGATATATTTATGGCGTTTTTTTTATATATTGCCGCATACTCAAACGACCACGCCATGGTACCATACTTTCGTCTATGACTACATTCCGTCCTGGAGTCATGATTTTCATAAATCTGTCATTAAGTAAGTCTAAAACATGTCTGATTTTGTATAATTTATCATTGCTTTCTAGTATACCGTCGTTATTTTGAAAATGTAGATACCGTAGAATTAACAAAAATCTGTCCCTAGTCATAACTGAGGAGATAAACTTATTGTTATAAAGGTCACTTTTGGACCAATATAATCGAATACTAGGGACCTTCACGAATCCCATGCAGAATTTTTTAATTTCTTCTTTATTAGTAGGAACCCACTTACTGTTAGATTTTTGTTTGATACTGTGTACACCAATTTCTTGTTCTGCATATCTATTGGTTTCTTGAACAATTAATTCCAAATTTTCATCTGTAACAAATAGACAAAAAATAGCCAACGGGTTCATATTTTCACATTGAATATTTATTTTAGAAACTGTAGGATATTCATCAAAATCTAATTTATCTGTTTCCTGAATGTTAGTCCATACATCTTCCTCAGCATCACCTAAAAATAAAGATAATGAGAATCAAATTATAAGGTTCATTTTTCTTCTTACCAATTTCTTTTTCCGATTCATAATTATCAGTTTCTATATCACTGGATACTCCTTCGTTCAAATATATGGATTCGTCCCCATCAGAATTGTCGCTATCTTCACTAGGAATATATTCAGGATCTTCATCAGAAAGGTTTTCAAATGGATCACTATCAGATTCACTTTCAGTTTGTATCCAAGCATTTTGGTGCTTGTTTAGAACCATTTTTTCGCCTCTAGACGACATTTTTATGGATATTAATAAAAAAACAACAGACTTGTACAATGTTTACTACAACACTAATAATCAGATACGGAATTCTGGTAAATCCCATAGCGTAAAAAATTTCTTTGTGGGACGTTACCAGGTGCTGGCATCTGGTAACTTAAAACAGAACTAAAATATAAAGCACATCATGGCAATTCCGTAGGTACCTATATCATAATATTTAGTTCATAATTAGCCATTTTATGGCTAATCAAGATTTATTTTAATCAAGAAATAAAGCGGCCGGTGAGGACAAAATACTGGCGGAACTGCTAAAAGAAGGAGGAGACACGATAATAAAAATGCTAAAAATACTGTTCAACAAATGTCTGTTTGAAGGTAAAATACCTAACAATGGAGAAATGCCAACACAATCTTAATACATAAGAAAGGAGACCGAACAGACCTAAACAACTACCGTCCTATTTCCCTTTTGTCACAACTATATAAAACCTTCACAAGAATAATAAACAACCGACTAACCTATAAACTTGATAACTACCAACCAGTGGAACAGGCTGGATTCAGGAAAGGATACAGCACAATCGACCATCTACATGTGCTTAAAATCTTAATTGAGAAAACCAATGAATACAACCTTCCGATGTACTTAGCATTCGTAGATTATGAAAAGGCTTTCGACAGCATTGAACACTGGGCGGTTAAAGAAGCTCTGGTCAATAGTAGAATAGATTCAAGATACCGACAATTGATACATGATATTTACCAAAACGCAACCATGACCGTAATTCTGGACGACAAATTAATAACGGATAATATAAAAGTTAAACGAGGAGTCCGACAAGGCGATAAAATTTCACCTAAACTGTTTACCTTGACCCTCGAAGACATAATAAAATCAACAGATTGGGAAAACAGAGAAATATGTATTAACGGAAAATACCTAAATCACCTTAGATATGAGGATGATATACTCCTGATCTCCTCGGAACGACAAGAACTGGAATTAATGCTGAATGAACTTCATGAAAAATCACTGCAAAAAGGCCTAAAAATTAACTTCAACAAAACAAAAGTAATGACAAACACGGAAAAACAAGAGACAATAAAAATAAAAACGGAAAAAATAGAACAGGTAAATGAGTATATCTATCTAGGACAAGCAATCAGAGCTAACAGAGAAAATCAAACAGCCTAAATATCGAGACGAGTAAGAATGGGATGGGCAGCGTTCGGCAAACTTTCTTACGTTCTAAAAAATCAAACATTCCCTCTATATTTACGAGGCAAGGTATATAACTCCTGCATAATACCGGTGCTCACCTACGGAGCTCAGACATGGACATTTACACAGGCCAATTTGGATAGGATAAGAAAGGCACAAAGAGCGATGGAGAGACAAATGTTGGGTGTATCACTTAGAGATAGAAAACGTAACCAGTGGATCAGAACCAGAACAAAGACAGTAGACACGATAGAACAAGCAGCAAAACTGAAATGGAAATGGGCTGGACACAATGAACGTCTCCAAGACGGACGATGAAACAATGCCATCGGAAAGTGGCATCCATACAATGCAAAGAGATCAAGAAGCAGACCACAGATGAGGTGGAAAGATGACATCAGGAAACAAGGAGGTCCCACATGGCAGAGAACAGCTCAAGATAGGGAAAGATGGAGAGAAATGGGGGAGACCTTATCCAACAATGGAAGGATAGAGAATAGGTTAAAAAAAAGCCATTTTATCGTTGTCGGCGCTTGCGCAAGATCTCCAAATTTCAGTGCCGGTTGAACGTAAAGTTTATACCAGACCCACGTATCTGGTAGCGGCGTGAACGTGTTAAGAACGAAAAAGGTATGGCCCAGATCACCCTAGAGTTTTAAAATCATGACACTTTTAATTATTTAACCTTATAATATCTTAGACTATACTAAAAATCTATTAAACAATTTAATCTATTTAAATAAATCAATAGAAAATAATTAAAAAAAGTCCGTTACTGTCCTCCTGTGTAAATAAAGTCAAGGGTTCAGATGAATATCAACTGCAAATAATATTAATACATAGAAGAAACAGATAATATTTAGTTGATTATTAAGCGTATTTATAAACTCTTCGAATATTTCAAACCATCAGTGTCCGTCTTATCAAAACATAGTGCGTTCTTCCGCTTCAGATAACCAGTTCCAGTATTTATTGTTTTTGCTCAACCAGAAGACTGAAAATTTTGTTTTTAAAGCGTAATAATTGGGCAGGATGAGAGTTACGGTAAGTACCTAATCAATTAGTTTTATCAACTTTTCAGGTAAAAGTAAAATATTAATTTTTTGCTGCGAACTTTAAATTTATTTTATTTATTTTTACGCACAACAGGCCGTTAAGGCCTAGGGCATTTTTTTAACACATAATCCTAATATTAACTAATTACAATTGTTTTAAACAAAACTTTAACTTAAATATGTATATAAAACATTCTTAACTACTCTAAAGTACCTGGTGGACAATATTTCTCCATTCGCTTCTATTTTGTGCTATTCTTTTCCAGTCCCTCACCTTCACGTGTTTCAGGTCTTCCTCCACTTTACTAATCCACCTCGTTCTTGGTCTACCTCTTTTTTTGGGGTCAATTAGTTTTCTGGTTATTACTAGTTTAGGCATTCTGGTTGCTGCCATTCTTTCTACATGTCCCAACCATCTGATTCTTTGTGACTCGACGAACTAATTCATTGTTAGCTGTTCTCTCCCAACCATCTTCTGTCTTCCGTCCTCGGAATATGCGTCTCAATATTTTCCTTTCCCATCTTTTCAGAGTATCCTCCTCCTTCTTATTTAATATCCATCTCTCACCGGCATATGTCACTGTGGGTCGAATTACTGTTTTGAATATTCTGAGTTTACCTTGTCTAGAAACGTATTTTGAGTTCAGTAGGGCTCTTAAACTACCTAATTTTTTATGCCCTTTTGCTATTCTGGCTTCGAGATTTTTCTTTTACATTTTCATCGAAAATTCCACCCAGGTTTTCAAATGTATCTACCCTTTTAAAACTATAGCTTTAACCATTTACAGACCTCACACCAAAGTCTTCCTTTTTCCCTTCTGTCCCTCTCATGATCATATATTTGGTTTTGTCTTCATTTAGTTCCAATCCGAATATCTGTGCTTCTTCAATGATTTTCTTCGCAACTCTCATAACAGGATCGTTAGATCGTCAGCAAATGCCAAGCACTGGTGCTCATTTTTCATGATCGTTTCTTCCACCTTCATGCTGCATTTTCTGATTAAAGTTTCTAACACTAAGTTGAATAATGTAGTGGATAAAGGATCTCCCTGTCTCAAGCCTTTTGCAACCGTAAATTAATCCGATATGTGACCCTGCCAAGCAATTTCATACGTAGAGTTATTTAGTGTCATTTTAACTGGCCTGATCAGGTTCTTTATACATTTTGACTCTATCATATGCTTGTCTAGAATCCACAAACAAAACATGCAGGGGAACTTTACCTTCATAACAAGTCGATTGTATCTCCTTTAATGAGAAGATTTGGTCTACAGTAGATCTGTCCTTTCTAAGCCGGCCTGATACTCATGTAATATTCTTTCCGTATAGCAATTTAGTTTATTTCTCAATATTCTTGCCAAGATTTTGTACACCGTGTCTAGTAAGGCTACACCTCTATAGTTGTCACACTTCCTTTTTTATGGAGAGGGCATATGCGGGTCTCATACCACTCCAATGGCATTATTTCCTTTTTCCATTCTTGCACTATGCCATTTTTACCAGGACTTCTGCTATTTTTCATTTCTTGTATTGCTGTCACCACCTTCTCCTCTGTAGGCTGCCTTTTAACTATCGCATCTTCTCCAACCGTCCAGTTGTCTACTGCTTCGTAGTCCACCTCACCATTAAATAATTCTTCAAAATGTTTTTTCCATTCCGTCATTATTTCTGCCCGATCGCTAATTAAATTTCCGTCTTTGCGTTTCATATAGCTACAGTGGATTTGGTAAACTTTTACCATCTTTTTAACTCCTTGATTGAACGACCTCACCTCTTTGTTTTTAAACTTCTCTTCTATCTCTTTTAATTTCAACTCATTGTGGTGTCTCTTTTTCCTTCTACAACATAAAATCGTACGATCATTTTTCCAATGAGCTTTGTTAGGTGTATTTTACCAGTTTCTAGTGTAAACTCTATTCGTGTTTCTGTTTTGTTATTTTTAGACATATGTCCTTTCCGATCTATGTCTGACTCATGCTCAGAAGACGGATCCGAACTATCATTGTAAGGGATGCTTTCGACGTCGTCATTGTCAGAAGATGATGAATTGTTAAGATCCTTCGATTGGGGAAATACTGGTTTAGTCTGTTTAATTTTATTGCCTTTTAAATGATGCTTTCTTGGTTGAGTGTCCATAACTTTCCTTTTCACAGCTTTTTTCTTCATATTTTTGTTCATTCTTTCCTCGTGCTTGTTTTCTACACTTGCCCCTTTTACGACGTTTTTCTATGTTTGTTCTTGAAGGTACCTTAAGAAAAGGGCGTACTACCTCTGGTAACTTGTATGGTGGCTCAGGTTCTTTAGTCTCAGCATTTATTTTATGATTATTAATAGGGTCTGAAATAAATGTCTTCATTGATATTAGAAGGATTATCTCTATCAGTGACCGAAGATAGAACTTGTGTTCTTGAAATACATTTTCATTCACTGGCCAGTTCTCTGAAACTCTGAATCCAGTTTTAATATTAGACACTGTGTTTGTTGAAGCTGGTTCCGCGAGATAGGCTAATGACTTGTGGCTTTCTTAAACTAAGTTGCTTATGGCGACTCAGTAAGTCAAGAAACCACTGTTTTTCGGCACGATAATTATTATTCTAGGATGGTGTGACTGGCTTATTGTTGGCTTCAGCGTATTCAAATGCTAAAGTTTACAAAGAGCGACGTGAAAGTCCATAATGCATATGACTTGCTTGAATTAAATATTGACATAAGTCGTTCTCCTCATCAGTGGAAAATACTTTTCGGACTGCGCAAGCACCATAAGAGAAGAAATTGTTGAAACCACGGACCAAAAATCTTTAAAGTGTCGTCCGTAACACATGCAATTCCTTTGCAGCTAATCGGACCGATAATTGCTTTTGTTGAATTGCATTTTATGCATTTAATAAGTTTTCATGTTCTTCCACGAGGAAACTAAGTTCCTGTAGCTGGCTGTATACCATATATCACAAAAAAATTTGTTAAAATCCTTTATAAAAGGTATATAAAATTTTATATACCTTTTATAAAGGATTTTAACAAATTTTTTTCATGTTCTGTCGGAGCTCTTTTTACGCCGGTTTTGCTTCGAGGTATTTGTAAAGAAAAAAGAACTGTTTTTAGTACCTTGAGATTGTACCTCGGGCCGCGGCCTGACGTGATAGTGGTCCAAGGCACAAAAATCGGCCAAAAAGAAAACGAATATGAATTTAACCTAAAAATACTGTTTTGTTATAATTCTTACTATGTTGTTTAAGTACCTTTTAGAATAAGCATACACACCCTGTGATTTAATTTAGCATATCTGTTAACACAAAAATTACAAAAGAAAAAAAAGTAAACTTTTAACTAAAAAAAATAACTTAAAAAGTTACTTTTCTCTCCAATATCCAGCAGGATATTGGAGCTATTGCTACAACAGAACTATCACCCTAACAGATAAGTATCAACCCATCGTCTTTATTTATTATACATTTCTTATTTCGTCGCTGTGGCGTTGTCAGCGTCTCTTGTTTGGTTATAGAACAATCTGTAGGAATCCTATTTTGTCGAATAGTACCCGTTACTTCATATTCTTAAGAATTAATTCGTACTGTAAATTTTTTGTGACAAAGCATCTTTGTGTTGAAAGTCTGTCATAAGTTTTCTCAACATTGTTACGTCTCTGTCGTTTATTTCTCGGTCCCTTTCTATTTTTAATTGTCTCCCCAAAAAGAAAAACGCAAGAGAATACAGCGATTACTGCACCATTATCTTGATGTCTCATACTAAAGTTACTGCTTAAGGTCATCCACCACCGAATATATCACAGACTGGATATAGACATTAATGACACACAATTTGGTTTTCGAAAAGACCCAGGAACATGTGAAGCTCTTTTTTCATTTAATATACTGATACAAAGATGCCTGGATGTCAATCAAGATTATATACGTATGTTTTATTGACTATAATAAAGCATTCGATAAAGTACGACATCAACAATTAATAGATGTCCTGAAATGAAAGAAGATTGACTACAACGACTTCAGGATCATATCAAATTAGTAAACGGTAAGGATTTCAAAAAGGGAGAGAATAAGAAACGAAGAAATCAGGGAACGCATGGGAACACAAAGTATAATAATGGATGACATTCAACAAAAGTAGTTTATATGGTGCGGATATGTACAGCGAATGAAAAAAATTACACTCATAAAACAAGTATTTGCATGGACACTTACATTAAGAGAGAATAGGAAAAGTACGAAAAAAATACAGATGGAAGGAGTAAGAAGATCGATGAGCTTTAAAGAACTTTAAAGCTCATCGATATATTATATTGTCCTTATATATTATAAGGACAATAGAATAACCCAAATAAATGGAAACATCAGACATCATCATCATCATCATCACACAGCCAAATTTGTCCACTGTCGAACATAGGCCTCCTCAAGATGTCTCCACTCTTCTCTGTCCTGTGCAGCTGCGATCCAGTTTGTCACTATTCTTTTAATGTCGTCCGTCCATCTGGTAGGTGGTCTTCTACGATTTCGCTTGACTGCCCTTGGCCGCCATTCTAAAATCTTCTTTGTCCTTTGTCCATTCAGAGAAAAATTTGTCAGTTGTTTCTTTGTCCAAGAAACATCAGACAACTTTCACAAACTCGACTTAACTCGGGATGACTTACACAAAGTACGAATAGGGAAAAACGTTAAGATAACGGTAGTTATTTATATAATAACATTTCTGGTGTTTTGTAATATTTAACGGAAAACGATTTATCCTTATTTAACAGTTATACTGATAGTAACCCACGCAAGTTAAACTATTCGCGTATTGTCGTTGGTTTTGCATAATCATTGTAAAGTGGCCATTCTTGACTTAATATTGTTATTTTTTTTTTGTGTTATTAATACCTTTGTTGAGCTGTATACAGGGTGGTGAATCGTCAAACGGGCCATAGGAAATTCAATGGGAAATTCTGAATTGTTGAATTCCTGCTTCCCTACCTATTTTACATCAAAA